GAAGTTATTTGCCACACTGTTTGCTCTGATGGAAACATGTTAAAAACATAGTTGGGTATTTGCATGTTTAAATACAGTCCCATATAATGCGGTTCTGCTATGTGACCGACACAGAGAAAGTTTGCCCCGGCTATAAACAAATGATCCCTGGTGAATCTTGTTTCTTTGGTCACTACCCGCAGCCATAAGCTAGCACTGCGACAGCAGATTTTGCGCAAAAAAATCCCAACCATCAAACATCTCACTGAAAAGGTCAGGTTTTCTCCTACCCCCCCAAATTTAAAAGGTATCTTTTATTGCAGTTTAAAGTAAAAGAGTGGCTTTCACACTCACGTATCTGCAGCATTAGTCCATTCCTCTGTCTGCTGACTCCTTAAGGGAGCACAAGCCTTTGAGAAGTAACATCTTTAAGCCACATACACAACGTGCCAGAGCTTATTTGTCAGTGCCCTGAGGCAGGCCTTTCATCTTTTAGCCACATAATGATAGCAGAACTGTATATAGATGGCTATATTTGCATGCATCAGCAACCATGTTAAATTACATGTTTTTGCTAGCCAATGCGAACAGCAAATTCTCATTTGCTCACTACTGGCTAGTAAAACCCATTCTGTACGTTTCAGGAAAACTCACCCCCCTCCGTAGAATCAGTCTTTGAAACCTCGCTGTAAACACATGCCTATGCTCAGGAAGATCGTGCTCTCAGCACAAGCAGAACACTGCAGATTAGTCCTTTAGAGAAGAAACACCACTTCTGGAGGAGAAAAAAAATGCACCTAACATGCAAACACAACTTCAAAGAAAATAAAAAAAAAAACAACTGCCCCCAGACTTCTCAGTATGACTGATGTTTTATATCCCGACAAAATGACTAAGAATCACCACAAACAAGGGGACAGAGGAATCTGAGCACAAGATCAAAATTTGTGAGAAAAAAAGCGCAATATCCTCAAGGCTGATCTTGATGTGAACAGAAAATGCTATTTCATAAAGAATGACGTTACGGGTTAAGAGAAACACTTTAGCCTTAGTTTTATAATGCCAAAATTCCCAACGCCTAGGACCTGTCTTCAGGGGATGTGCTAATGGCTTGAGCAAACTGGCTCTTGCTTGAAGACAGCGCATTTTTAAGTAAGAGTTCTCCGAGATGGCACTAATGGCTCAAGATGTTTTTGGAATGGCAGAAAGTAATTGTGTTCCCCTTACGGGACTCCAAGAACAAACACCTGCAACTAACTTTGGTACAATGCAACAGCAACAACAAAAAGAGCTGGTTTCTGTGGCCGAAACAAAGGGCCATAGATTCAGTAATAGGGCCTGTTCTTCCATGAGAATAATTAACTCCACAATCACACCATGACCATGTTTTCATTGGCTACATTCTCCCAGACTTGAGTTTTACACGGTCCAACTTAAGCCCACGTTCTCCTGAGAACATTTAGTCTGTTACGATAGAATGCACCAGTATTTTAAAATAGGACCTACACAAACTTGCACGATGAACAGGGGGTTAGCGAACTAGGTTGCTTTGTGTTCTGCTCCCCCTGTTCTGCTAGAATACTACGCCATCATTCTCATCTCAACGGTTCTAGAGACTAAAAAGCCCACATCTGCCTTCAGAGCCTGGTAATTCTCTAAAGATAGCCCGGCATAAAAGAGGAGGGGTTTATCTGGAAGTCAGTCTATTTATTGAAAAAGAAATAAGAGATGAAAGGCATATTTTTATGTCGTCTCCAGCAACAAAGACAATTCAACTCTCGCCTGCGTTTAAATACCATTTCTCGAACATTCAAGGCCTTTGTAAAAGATAAAAATCTTTATAAGTAAACAAGCTGTATTAATCCAAGTCAGGTAGCATGCTCCTTTAAAGTGGTATCACTTTGAGGACACCTCTACATCTTGAAAAATAAATCACTACTAGTTTAAGCAAAAACTTTAAGTGTAGCTATTCACAGGCTATTTTTCTTTAAAAAGGTTAACGGATGCCATTCTTAGAGGAGCTTCACAGTAAGACTCCCTATTTATGCCTGGCCAAGACAACTTTGTTTCAGTCAATTGGATTTAAAAGTTACCTCAGCATAGAGCATTGTACAAAAGAGCAATACTGAATGTTTTCAGCTAAGCCCTCACGCTCCATGATCACACACTAATGCTGATAGACTCTTGAAGGAAATGGACTTGTTCAGAAGCTGGACTCAATATGAGAAGCAGGTAAGTTATTAAATTACCTGTGAGTAAATTACCAGGTAAATTATACATAACCAAATGTCACCTATTTTCTATATATTGATTTTTCAGCTGTAGATCTCAAACTTCATTTAATAGGTGGTTACGGCATCATTACTGTGCCATAAGTTTACCTTCCCCTAAACGAGAAACTGAAGGAAGTGAAAAAAACACTTGTGCATTGGAGGACAAGCGTGTTACCATCCTTAAACTGAATAAAGTGAGAGGATTTGCTCTGCCTATAGCAAGAGGCTAGCACTTTGAGGATGACTTAATCCTTTAAGATCAACCTAGGGTAATAATCTTTTAAGTCTTACTGACAGTGCCCAACAGAAACCAGAAACTGGCAGAAACCTTTATTACAACAAAATGTTGAATACAATTCACTTCTTTTACACTGCAGGAAGGAACTTACTGTGATGAAACATAATTATTTTAATGAGTTAAAATGCTTTTAAAAGCATCTGTTCGTCTTCAGTTCCATTTCCCGTTTTGACAGACTCAAAGCATCCAGTTTTCCAAAATAACACTTTCATGAGTGTCAGATCTAGCTTAGGACATTTGTAAAGGTACTTATGAAAGGGGCTTTTGTTTAAAACCAAACCTTGTGACCAAAATTCTCATTTCCACAGAGAGTTTAAGGATCTTTCTGCAATCCAGAATATGATTATAGAATAGGCTACATAGACAGAAGCTCAAGATTAAAATTCTTAAAACAGAAACCGTGTAGTTTCACATAAGTCAGACACAGTCTGCTGAAGAGCTGTGTACAAAGGAAGAAGTGAAATCAAAACGCTCAGAGAATCGAGGAAGTAAGAACATCAGAAAAAAAGACTGGAAAGAATGAATTCCAAAGGTAAACTAATCCAATTTCTTTGTACAGTGACAAGACCCCTAGTCTTTGTTAAACTAACCCCACAGAACAAAATAGATTACTTCACATGCCAACTAACATATAGCAACAAAATAAGTGGTAAGAAGGGAAAACAATTTTTTTTTTTTCTTTCTTCCATTCTTCTTTCTCCTGCAAAGAAGGTTACCTTTCTACACCCCCCCGCCACCACCACCAAGTCACCTATCTGCTCCTGAGCTGCCTGCTTGCAGCCTGTAATTGGCACAAACTGCTCACTGGCAATCAGAAACACTTGCTCACATGCTGGGCTGCAAAATTCAGTGCTTCGCATGCAGATACCCAATATATTCAGACACCCCTTTGGTGGGGCAGCAGTCAGTCACCTCCATTTATCATCGTGTACCAATGGAAAGCTTCAGGTAACTGGCAATTTTGATGGACCAACTCATTGACTAATAGTTTATTAGGAAACAGTGACCAGTGTACATATATACATGTACATACTCTCAGCAAGGCTATACGCTTCATGAGTTTATAAGGTTTCTGTTGCCACCCACCCCTGCCTCTAAGTGGCTGAAGACTCCAGGATGAAGTCAAGAAGCTTCTGTCTTCTCTTCTGAAGAGGTCTACAATATCCAAAAGCTTTTAACTTTATCAATATTCTTGTGCATTATGACTGCACAGTACTGCTCTAATTTTTCTGCAAGCGTGTGGAGGTCAAGCTTAACAACATATACTAAGAAGGTAGCATTAATATCTCCTTACAGTTTTACAGAAATATTTTCTGAATTCAGAAAATAAGAAATCCACCTTGATAACTACTATTCTAATATAGTAATAATAGTACTATGATTTCCCTCTCACACACACTGCTCAAGCAGGTTTAGAGGCAGGCACTCTTAAGTATCTAGCTTAAGCCTTTTGGTCACTTGGTGCACCAAGTCAATCTACAGTTCCGTCCCTATTTTTCTTCTTCCATGCATGGCCAAATACCACTCGCGCCATTCTGTACCTCAGCTCACAGAAGACATCTACATGCCAAACCAAGTTAAAAACAGATGTCCAAAATTACACCGAAATAGCTGCAGCCTTTATGCATGCTAACCCAATAGCTTAAAGCTCTACTTGTTTGCTACAATCCATGTATGATTTCTGTGTAACAATCATATATTGTAGAACAGTGCATTAGATAAAAATTGCTTAAACAGTTAACAAGGTACATTACAAATATTAACACAACGATTTGAAGCATCAAAGAAAATTCTCAGCATTATGGTATCTTAATAAGATTAACTATGAACAAAATTTAACCTTGTGGATTTCAATTATTCGTATTTCAAAAAAAATCAGTTAAGAAAAGTGTTACATATTTATCAGTCACTCCTGCAGACTAGAAATTGAGTAGCCAATGACAATCTAGCACTGCAGTATTTCCCAACAATACGCAACGTTATCTGTTCAACTGAAAGGGTAATCTAATGCCATATTCAAGTCTGGATTTTGTTTCGAGTCCTTGGCAAATGTGGGAATTCCACTGCTTCTGAGGAGATCAATTATTTTTATGTAAGTGACAGCAGGTGGCTATTTAAGTAGATTGTTTTGCTACACTGAAATGCCAGTACAGACAAGTGTTTGTATGGCTCTCCCTTCACTTTCATGGTTTAGTTTAAGCCAAAGTGTTAGTCCAGGAAAAGCCTGGTTATACCAATAGCATAATTACATATAAAACCCATCTGCTCTTAGGTATGCAAGATCTAGCCAAAGCAAGTATCAGTTTCAGCTACTGACTTTTCAAACAAAAAGCTTTTGCAAAAGATAATTAAAGCCGCCACCACCCTACCAGAGGTAACAATGAGAAACAAATCTAAGCCACATGAGCGTTGGTCTATTTTTGACAGCAGTATTTAAGTATTTATCAAGCTGGTTTTCATTCATTTATTTAGTTGGCTGACATTTATCTGCCACACATAATATTTGAAAATGCACAGTTAGCAAGCTGCTAAAATATAGAGTCTGGATAATGTTTAGTTGTATTTTTCCATTAATATAGTAGGCAACAGCTTCTAGCATTTGCCTTGCTGATGTACTTCAACTCTGCCTGAGGCCAGGATAGGAAAGGTCCCTGCTGCTAGTACAAAGTAGCTCACTATTAGGAAAAAAAGCCATTTTTTAAAAATATCAATATTTGATTAAGTGGAAAAGAGACTCCCAGCTTCCATATATCTAGCAGTATTCAAGTAAGGTTTTACTTACTGTTTCAAATACAGAAGTTTAATTACTTAGCCAATATAACAGTTCTACAAACTGCACCACAGATCACGTTGCACAGCTTACGATCAAGATCAATAATAAAAGCTAAAATCTTGCTAGTGACAGTGCTAATATATATTGGCAATTTTAACATTTTAGTCCAGAAAACATCTGTTCTTCTAAAACCCACTGACATATACCATTTATATATATTGTTATTAAATCCAGTCATCACGCTACAGTATTAGTCAGGTTAATAAACCTTCTCACTGTGAGAATACACCAGCATAAGATATGAACACAATGCAATCTATATGAAACCGTATCATTAACTTCCAGAAATATGCTTGCTGCCCATCAAATAAAGTATTGCAGATTTAGAAAGATTTACATGTCTTCTCAGCATATTTAACACGTAAGAATAGTTTCTTGTTCAATTTCCAAAAATAAATATAAGCTTTCAATTGAAAGCATTTATTTTCCTAGTTTTCCAAAGTGAAGTCTGGGGAAAAAAGCTTCAGGCTTTGCATCAGTTCACTTTGGTACATAAAAGCATCTCCTGTCCCAGTATTTGCTCAAATCCAAGTGATATTTTCTTCCAGTGAAACATGACCGGAGCACTCATTTTGTTTTCAGCAATTCAGTCTGTTTCCATGGCAGCACTGCGGGATTCCTTAGCCACCATGAGTCGCATTAGCTGACTGTGGAATTTCTCGATCTTCTTTACATCTTGAGCCTGGTCTGTTCTATACAGCAAACACTGTAAGAGAAAGTTACTAATTATCACATTTCACTCAAACTATTTTTATCCTCTTTACAGTTACAGAAAATTTGTACTTGGCACACACAAAAAAAGGTACCTAAACTTCCATTTATAGTGCACGGTTACCATGAGGCAGCACAAATACAAATCTACATTCAACTTTGTGAGTATTACCCAAACAGAGGGGTTGTTTTTAAAGGCAGATAGAGATCTACATAAATTTTAAGTTTCTCTCAAAGAATCTTGCCTTCCTTTTTTGGAAACAGTGAAGCTTATGGTTTATCCTAGTATTTTATCTCAAAAAAGGTTGCGAACCTTGAGATATAAAGTTATCTTTACAGACACCCTTGTTCGCGTCTAAAAACGGAAGCAGATTTTGAACCTGAACCTAAAATTACTTCCCTATTCTCTGTATTTTGAAAGTAAAGTTACTTTGCCTTTAATAGTTGTTAACGTAACAATGCTAGTGACATAAAACATATTCAGTGTTTCCCACTGAAGAGGGCTTCCCCCCTCCTTAGCAAAATCAGTTTCTAAGACAATCTTAAACAAGGAAGATAACACCTGATTAAGATTAAAAGGGATTCCTTCGCATGACAAGCCAATAAACGCAAAAGGAACAAGAATAACGTGACAGCGACTGATCACAGAAAGACTACTTCGTTTCTTCCCAGACTAAGTAATTTCGTGTATAACGTGAATACGAGTGTCCAGGTTGATTCAGCAATGAGCAAAACCAGAATACTCCATTCTCCAGTGCTGCCAATACAGCACTTTTGTCAGCATTAAATTCCAACTTTAATTCAGAGACAATCAGCAGAATAGAACAGTTCAGTTTTTCCTCCAGCTATATTAGTCCTACAGTTAGTTGTAAGGAAATCTTTTTCTCCTCTCCCTCCCTCCACTCTTTCTTTCCAAATCAGTGTAACTGCTGAGTGGAAGCAAGTAAGAAGGCACGCAACTGAAAAGTCCATGTTCATGAATCCACCTTCCACTACAGAAGACTTAACTAAATCGCCCTTCATATCCTCCTGTTATCAGTGCCCCACATTCAACCTCTCATCCACTGTAAGCACTATTATCCTGGGAAGAAGCGTAATTGCTGGAGTTTTACATGTCTCCCAGATATGTGGGATACAAAGGTCAGATTATTTTTCCTGGAAAGAAATCTAATTTTTCCAATTTTGTGAAGACAAGAGTAGGACAGACCACTGTTGCTTACTCTAGACTGCAGAAAAACAACCGCTTGCCTGTGCCTTCGTTAGCTCTAGGAATCCCGTAGCTAGAGCGCACATCAGCACGTGTATGCAATCCCATTTCAACATGCTGCCCACCATCTCACATCACAACCCCTCAAAAGTTTCTAAGTACCCCTCCAGATTGTTTAGAACAAGGGCAATCACTAAAAGTAGCTGCTCCAACTCCTTTTACAATAAGCCTAGGAAGGACACTGCAGAATACCACTTTATTTCCCACAAGTTTTACTGAATGTGTAATTGACATGGTAAGATGGTTATTTCGGGAGATGGGATCTCGAAACTGAATCTTGCAATTCTGTCCAACATTCTGGTATCACTAATTACGATATACACTGTCTCATAACCATGAAGAAAGAGATTAACCTATGTTTGAAAATTGTCATTACTTCGAGCAAGTGAAAAAGGACTACACTCATGCAAGCCGTCATATCAGTAAAAGTTTATCAGCACAAGATTACACAGTTGAACTGAATCATTATGAAGCGTATCAGTGGAATACAGAAAAGTGTCTGTATTCCACGTTGTGTCTACGCTACAGAATTTGCTGGAACAGCTATATTAAAATCCTTTTTTGTTTTATTTTAACTGTGCATGCTCTTTTTCTATCCCCACATACTCAGTAGAGTATTCCTACCCGTGTAGTTACTAAGCATGGAACCTTGCAATTTTACTCTTTTTTTTGTTTGTTTGTTTTTAAAAACTACTATTTTACAGCAACAATTTGCTTGGCCTAAAACAACTATGTTAAGACTTACAAGACCACCGTTAAAGCGTGAGAATGTTTCTTGGACTATGCAGAGTTGAATAGTAGATCAACATCAGGCACAGACGTAGCAACTAAGGAAGGCTGAGCACAGTAAGTTTTCAGAAAACTGTCAGGCACTCTCAAGACAATGCTTAAGAGCTCATAAGTTGACTGACAGCATAATGCAAGTCCTTGAGAGGTACACTGAGCATTGAGAGCGTGTTCCTTACTTACAGCTACATCATCCGTTACTTTGATACAGAGGTTCCCATCACAGTGTCGATATTTGAGAACAACCCGCACCTGAAATAACAAATATTAAGAATTAACACCTCTAGCCAACAATTCTCAAAACCAATCTGAAGGAAGACCGCCTAAATTCAGAATGCCTTTTATGAGAATATATGAACTGTGAAGCAGTACGTGTATAGTTTCCTTGATCACAAGAAGCACCTGCTCATCATCCTTTCACTTTAGTCACGTGAGGTATAAAAAGACAGAATTGTCTAAAATAGAAAAAATAATTCCACTCAGCAGCAGGCAGAGCAAATTTGTCACAGAGCTCTAAGACTCCTCCTAGCTGAGGCAAAGACTGTAAGATAGCAGACAGATTTAAGAGTGCTAAGCAGTGCACACTTGAAGAGAAATCTAAACAACATCCCGTTCAGTTTTCAGAGTTAACCCTATGCTCTTCTTATGCCAGATGCTATTTGTAGATCTGATGAAGTACTGTAGACAGACCAAGTCTCTCTCCAGGTATTGAATACAGAATCAAGGACTGAACTAGTCTTGACAGATACTGAAGCTCAGGGGTCTGATGACCATGACTCATTAAAGAAATTGATCAGAAACGAACAATCATCACACCCTGGTCTGTTCACATCATGTTCACAGTTACTAGTGAAGAACTGGCCAAGTTCTGGATCAGAAGCCCAGAGGTTTTCTTCAATGTGGGTATTAGCAACTGACCATTAAGTTGTACCCCAAGCTGATTTTTATTCAGGCGAACTGGAAGTCCAGACTCAACAGCACTGAAAAAGTTATGAAAGGCAAGATGGCATGGTCAACCAGTCACAAGAAATTTCTAGGTCAGATTTAAATATTTAATTGTCCTTAGCACAGCTCTTTGAGGCATGGTGTCTGAAACTACAGAACTTGTGCAAAGTTCTCTTGATTACGTCAGGAAGACTGTTAAGATTAGGTCAGGAATCAATACTAGTGAACTGTAAGGGACATTTATTAGCAAAAACCAATTTAGGACCTCTGTGGTGGTTCTCAACCCTGCTGTCCACTATCCCTACAGCCAGGATGATTTAGAAACTGACCTATCACACTTCCCTGTCTAAAATATTAAAATAGTATCACAGTGACATTGGTAAGGTTGACATGATAAACCCAAAACCACTATAATGCAGCAATTACCAAATGAGCAGTTTCAGGCACCTAAATGATAGGCAAGACAAACTACAACAGTCATGTCAATGCAAAGCACCCTGCCTGTCCCCCCGTATTACAGAAATCAGAAAAACTAAATGGAAACCTGTGTTTATAGATGAGAAGCACTTGAAAACCTGGTACTATGTGGAGACTTGAAAGAAGATAACTGAGTAAGCTCAACAGTTTGCTCTTTCTTTTTTTCTATGGCACCTAAACTATTATGTAAACACGTCAAATTTCTAGCCACTGCAGTTAATTTCTCCAAAGGATTCAATAGCTACACTAAAGCCTACAGACAAATTTGAATGGTTCTTCTGATGTTTTTGCAAGCAGAAAAAGAAGATACAAAAATAACACTTTCATAGTAATCAAAATCAGATGACTGAAAAGAGTTTTTTCAAATTAAATTGCCGTCAAGATTCAATAAGGCTCAACTGAAGCGTAGAAGCTTGTAGTACTCAGCTTCTTTCTGAAACAGCTGCTATTGTGGACACCTGCTTTGAGATTTAATCTACTTGCAGTCCTTCCAGACTCTCACATCACCAAACTGCTCAAAATCACCACAATAGAAAACAAACAATATCCAAGGCAACTGACTGAGCATGAAATGCTTGCTACTGAATGCAGAACCAGCCCGAGATTTCATATCTATTGTTTCTAGTCTCAACTAGAATATCTAGAAACAAAGCAATATGTGCTTTGGAGAACACTGAACCAAGATAATCTTTGTTGTTTAAGGAATCGCCTTCCTCTCTGACCACAACAGCTATGTAACAGTAAACCTCTCGGCCAAGCAGGCACAGAAGCACAACAGACATTTCGCAAGACACAGATTAGATAACTTGCTCTCACAAGACCACCGTCTAGTCTTCCCAATCCCAAAGAACACAAACCCACCTGCCATTAGTCTTCCTTCAATTTTTCGACAAACATAAGCTTCTCAGGCTATTTCTCTTGCAAGTCAAAAGGAAGGTGTTCATGCTGTAACCCTTTTGTATACATCAAAGAGTTAAGGCAGGCCCAAAGGTATTGCCATGGAGAGGGAGAAGAGACCCCCTTTCGAGGTCCACTAAGAAAGGCAACAGGAAAAGAAACTCTTGCCTCCTCCTTCTCAAGCTCTTTCATTTAATTATATAGTACAGAGCATAAGAAGGAAAAACAGAACAGTTTATCTTATGATCAGTAGAAAAGCAGCAATTTCACATAAAACTGTCATTTACACTTGTCAAAAGCAGAGGTTAAATGCTATTTCTGAAACTTTAAGTCCCTTACTTTTTGTGAAGGAAACTAGGCCTTTTTTTTTTTTAAGCAGAAATTCCTAGGCATACTAATGACTTCCACATCAGTTTTGGGATTGCTTTTTGGCTAAAGTATTTGTAGTGCTGATTCTGAAGATCTAAATTGCTTCAGCTAGTTGTATGAACTATGTTCCTGAAGGAGTTACAAGAAAATAGTAGTCACATACCAAAAATAATATCTAAAGAAGTTATTACTTAGGAAACAAACAAGTTCCACTTTGCATTAGTATTGTGCTGTTGACTGCATGGTAAGAGCTAAAATATGTTTTCTGAATTTCTTTTTCTAAAGAATAAAAAAGTGAAATGGTCTCATACTTTTGAGAACTCATACAGAAAACTTAAACCAACCATCAAACATATTTTTCATTCAGCTGAAATCTTTTAGTCACATTTCCCAAAACACTGGTAGGCTGCAAACCACCAAGTGCACAACTTATTTGAAATTAGGTTCTTGAGGTTCATAACAGTCGCTGGTAACACAACTTGAAACGTTGTCTCCTCAAGTCATTGTTGGCAGTGTTAAACTTTGCTGTTTCTTCCAAAAGAAAAGTAAGGTATTACATCTGCAAATGACTTCAGGCTTTTTAGAGTCTCCCCCACACTTCTTCCTCGTAAGTGCTTCTCTTCTCCCTCGAAGGCCATAAGGCTAAACCTAAAAAAAGCTCTTCCAACCGCTTAATGTAGGACACCTCTAGTGAGCACACTCAGCTTTCTCAGAGCCACACTCCTGCCTTGACACTTACAGTAAAAAAGCACCTTTACTGTTGCAGCTAGGTTCACACAACCTGGCTAGGAAACAGACCCTCAAAAGAAGACCACTAAAGCCCCGGTGCTGCAGCAGGCCCCACGGCCCCGGAAGGCCCGGGGCTCACGTGAGCGCTCCCCTCACCGGGCGGCGAAGCGAGAGCGCCGGAGGCACCCGAGCACCCCGGCCGTTACTCAGCGCGTCAC